GCGCCTCTCCTCCTCTCACCGTGCCTGGCTCCCCAATAGCTGCCCTGCTGGACTCTGCGCCGACCTCCACCTCCTGGCAGCTAGCTTGCTCCCCAGCCCCTGCCGTCCTCTGTGCACTTTGGCTGCCCTTGCTGTGCTCCTCCCTCCCTTCTGTACTGGACCCGTTCCTGGCCCCCACCCGGGCCGCCTCCATTCTTCCTGCACTGTCCAGGCCACCCCTTGCCATCAGGGGGACCACCTGTGATGAGGAGCCAGCAGCCCTGCCATCCCCCTGTCCCTCAGCAGCTCCCTTGGTGGCAGACTCACCGGGACGTCTTTCCTGCGGACTCCCGACCATGTGGTCACATGTGCAGCCTCCAGTCCCGACCTCCTGCCAAGCTGCGGGGCGCCCTCTTTGCCAACGGCTTCAGTTTTGCGGCCGTCCTCGTCTGACCACGAACCTTGCTTGAGGGCACCATCCTCACTCCCGGCTCCTCTGACCTTCCGTCTCCAGATCCCGCTGCAGTTCTGCCATGTGCCGACGGACTTCTCCGACGTCGAGTTGCAGGCACTATACCCGAGCTCAGCAGCTGGGGCGGTCTCATCCTCCTCGTCGGTCTTCGCTCCTGTGCCGCGGGAGGAGGCGCAGCTGCCCCCAGCTGCTCGTGAAGCCAAGCCAGGCCCTTGTCCTTCACTGCCACCAGGACTCCAGCGAGGATCTCCTACAACGACGCCATGGATCTGCAGAAAAGAGAAAAAATAAGAACCTCGCCGACCGGTCACAATTAACAGGTAAGTGAGGCTCCGATTAAAATGGCCACTCTCTAAGATGGCCGCTATTTAATCTAACCATACTCCTCCCCCCCACTGTATTATCCTAAACCAACCCCTAACCCTATTACACCTGCCCACTCTCTGGCCCTGTCAAGGCCCACTCCCCCACTGCGTTGCTACATGGGCTCCATGGCAGATGGGTGTTTGAAGAACAAACCACAGTTCTTCTGTAGATATACAGGATTATTCACTAACGAAAGAATTCAAAGTATGTAAGGCCAGAGTAGCTGAACTAGAAGCCTGAATACTTGAGTTAGAAAATCTTTCAAATTTGGCTGTTTGGAGTTTAAATTTGAAATTCACTTTGAATTTTATTAAAGGACACAGAGGCTCATATTATGCCTTCTCTCTTTCTTTATTCCTCAGCAACAAAGAAAGGATATTTACATATTAGTAGAAAAAACAAACAGGGGCGTAATTAGAAACAACAAGGAAAAAATTGCCTTGGAGCCTCCCCCCATGTATCTCATCCATCCCCCAAGCAGAGACTGCTCTCTAATTAGGTGCTTTAGGCGGCCGCCTAAGGCCTCGCGCAGTCAGGGGCCTCGCAGCCGCCTAAATCGCCTGAGGGCAGACTGACATGTCAGGTTCTCGTTCTATGACCGAGGACCCGACACAGGAGGAGGCCCGGCGGCTTGCCCTTTGTGCCGCCGGGTGCGAAGCCCCTCCTGTCAGTCCGCCCGGG